GCCTAATGGTTAAAGACCCGCCTCTCAAGCACGAGGGCGCGGGTTCGATCCCGGCAAGTACCAATGTGATTTTTCCGAGTCATATGTACCTTTTGAGAGTATTTAAACACCACTGACAGACGGTGAAGGAAAACATCGCGAGGAAATTTGGACTTATAACTTAATAATTAGTTTGAAATCACCAACCCGTCTTCAGTAAGCGTGGTTATTAATGCATTCCCAAAGAGTGTTGATGTCAGACAGGCGACCGGTCGTAAAAACAATTAGCCAAAACTATTCACAACATGTAAGGTAGACCTGGCTTAAGCTGGGAAAATTGCCAGGAAGAAGAAGACGTAGTATGCGAACGAAGTCGCAGAAAAAAATTGTTTTACGAGGGAAACGTTAAATGAAATCGCTTATCAGTTATCACTATATTAGCTTTGTAAATTATATTCAGTTATGAAGTTAAGGGCTGTATCGTGCTACTTAATTTGTATGTGCAGTATTTTTAACGCCTTATCTTTTATAAACGTAAATAAATTTAAAGAAGTCATATATCATGATTTTATTTTTTTAACATCGTGCTGTGTAATTAAAAGTGTCGGTTAAAAAAGTGAAGGTCGGCTTGAACATTATTAATTCAAAACAAACATGAAGAAACTTAAATGTAGCGTAAAATACATATAAATATGCCAATGTGGCGATACATGATACATATACATACACTTTACATAAATATATATGTTTGCACGCGCCTATTTTCTTACGTTTCATATCCTTGTTGCAACGTGTGCCCATATAAAAGGTTTTTATGTATCTTTGTATTTAAAAACTTTATCATAAAGAAGTACCTAGTTTTGGATACAAGATTCAAGTAACTTTTTGGTCATGTTATTACTTTTCTGCCATCAACATTTAAGTTTAATAGAAACTTGAAGAAAATCGAATGGAAAAACAAATGTGTATTGTTAAAAGATAAAACAGTCTAAACCGAGAATGGTTATGACTTTTGGTACAACTTATTTACTGGTGAATGAAACTATACCGATTATATCCCAATAGTCACTACTACTCAAACATGACTAAAACAATTTATAAATAAGTTTACATCATAAACAACTTACAACTGAGATGTCACGTGCTCACAACCACACAACTATCGTGACGTAATATTAAACAATTTAAAAACTTTCACTATTTAATATTAACCTACATTTGATAAAACGAGTTGCAATAACCGTATATCACTCGTAACCCGCGAGTAGCGACTGACTTGAAATACGAATGATAAAATTCGCACAGCTCATCGGACATTTGCCAATCAAAATGCATTTGCCCCCTCTTCGAATCAAGGTTACGGAGTACAATATACAGGTTTCCCGCTCAAACAAATGAAATGCAAAATCGTAGTGAGTTTTTATAAACAAGTACATAATTCACTGTTATTTTTTTTGTTGTTTTCGCATACCAATTAGTATTTAGGTACATATAATTTTTATTTTTAACTTAAATTGTTGCGTTTCTTAAAACCACACCGTGTTTTTCAAACTACTAAGAGAACATAACAAGATTTTTTTTATGAGTTCATGTTATAAAATAATAAGTTCTTAGCCATAACCAATAACCATAGCCTTTATACTTCAAAACACTTTAATATCATAATCAATTTCAATCAAAATATTTCCATTAGTCTAAAGTCAAATTTATACCAGTCTTTGTAGAATATTCTCCTTTTTTATATACCTACTTTTAAAGTTTAAATCCTTTTTTAACTATAAATTATTTGAGGCATGTTTTGTACTTTCACATAATATTACATACTTAATATCTTTTTTTTTATTGCCTTATGAATAATAGCAAAAACCAACTAATGTTCTGTATGCAGTATTATTGTCAAGCTGCATAAGAAGCAATTACAATCTTTCATTCATATATCTCTTTATTTGATAGAATCATGGAAGATTTTGGATAAAAACTGGAAACAGTTTGTAGTGTAATAAGCCAAACTTGTGGTAAGGATATTATGCATATTTGTACTTTTATTTCTTGAGTGAGACTAAGTAAGAATGATTATTATATGTAAAGATATAAAAATATTATAGTAGTACTCAATCATTTTTCAACTTATAAACATCTATATAATGTTTTTTTATGGCCTTTGCTTGTGTTATTGAAAATATAGACAATGGTTATTAACTGAATATCGAAAGCAGGAAGAAGTTATTATTATGTATATTTATATCAGAAATTATATGTAAATTTAACTGTTTACTGATACTGTTTTAAGCAAGTAACTGGTTATATTATTGCAATTTTCATAGCAGTATTTTTTTAGCTCAGAAATATTTAAAGAGATTAAATTCCATATCTTAGAGAACTCGTGATAACTATCTATGTAAAAAAACAAACATGTGAAAGTGATAAACAGGATCCTTTATTTTATAATTAATAATTTTATCTATGTTCCTCAGTAATTTATTTATCTATAAAAAAATATATATTTTTGAGAAAAGCACATCTACATATATTTAAACACACATTTTATGTATATATATATGTGCATTATATACATATTTTAATTTTCAACATCCCTCTATAGTGTTGTTAGTACTGAAATCTATTGCATCACAGAAATCTATATCATTATTTATCATCACTGAAATCAAGATAAAAGGCATACTATATAAAATGAATGACAAAATAATAGTGCAAACAAATAAAACAAAATTAAACCCGATTGTCATTAATAGACAGAGATTAATGAAAAATTAAAACAGCAAAGAGGTTGAATTTATATATGAACTTTTGCTGTAGAATCTATGCATTTCACTGCCATTTACATGTAAATGAAGGCAAGACATATATTTATGCTTTTGGCTGTATATGTCTATGCTAATATTATATAAATATTATTTGGAGACCTCTATAATATATGGGCAGTTTATAAATGACTATAGTATTCAAACAAAAATAAGCTGTTTTCTTAATATATCAACCTATGTATATTAAAAGAGGTCTTTTAAAAATAGGAATCTAAATTGAACTGGTTTTTATAGTCAAAAATATTTTAAGCCTGCCTCATTCTTAAGATTTATATATACAAATATTTAAAATGAGTCTAAATATATATTTAAGAGATCAAAAAAGGTCAATGTAATAAATTTATAAAAATAGCTAACAATTTTAAGACAGTTTTAAGTTACATCACACTATGATTTTTTATTACACAATCACTAATAAGATGCAATTTTATCTAATTAAGAATAAAATTAAAATTAATTTACAATATATTATGATTTTTTAATTAATGACGAATTATATGCCATATACAATAAATTAAAAATGATGTAAAGAGTGAATGAACTTAATGAATAAAATTAATTTGAATAGAACCTTTTTACTTTGTTTAAAATATTGTCTATTAAATTCTACATATACGAAAAATTTTAAAAAGTTTTTATTTATAACAGTTAAGTTATATAAAAAATATTTAATTACCTTAGAGTTAAGATCCAAGAATATAAAACCTAGTGACTAAAGTTGAATGAAAAAAAATCACTAACTGAATGAAATGTCTTGAATGCACTTTATCATATAAAAACCCAATAGTTTCAAATCACTTTTACTTCAAAAAAAAAATTTACGTAAGTGCTTCAAGCTACGGGATTTACGAAACACCATGTGATATGTCCTTGTCAAAATGACAAGTGACATTTCAAATGTTGATTCGATTTAATCGATTATATCAAATGCTCGATTAAGTATTTTTTTAATAAAAGCTGTTTAAACCTATAAAATTCTTCACTATTACACAATATGTATATTTGTTTCATGTTAAAAGTTACAGCTCGAAAATAGCTTGATCGAATATTATAGCATATTTAGCAATGTAACTAGCGTTAATTTTCTTATTCTGTACATATCGTAAATGGGTGGTAATCGAGTTTAGATATGATTGATGAAGAAAGTTTTTAGTGTGAGTCTTCCTCAGATCATCTTATATTACAAGACTCAAGAGATCATGTTAAAAGTGAAATCTCAGCTACCGTAAAAACCTGTATCTTAGTTTTAACTTTCTGTCTATTTATTGTAGAACAAGAAAAAGTAATGTTATTTTTTATTCAATCTGAAACACACATTATCAGCATATTGCGTACCTTATTTTAGGAACTAATGTTTGATAATATTTATCTTTTAAACAAAATAATATATAATTATTAAAAATCTGCATACCTTAGAAAACTATAATTTTCTTAGGTAAAGGCAATTAAGAATTTACAAATTACTTAGGACGGTGCGGCGGTAGAGAAAAAGCTCTCAAGAAATATTGTGTCACGCCTTCATAAATATTAAGAAGGGCCGGTGAACTCTATTGTTTATATTTATATTAAATATCTAAGGGACTGGGTACTTGTCAAATCACAATACCTACATATTATGTATTTTGGTTGCACACTGAGAATATAGTCTATTAGGGACTTAAAATTATTGCAATATTTCTGCAATATGAAACATTTTACCTGAAATTATACGAGCCAATTAGAAACAAATCGGTTTTATTTTATTATGGAAATCCTAGTAGAATTCAAATAAGTAGAAGTTAAAGTAATAAAAAATAATAAAATTATTCTTACTAGAATGAACCAACTCAAATCTGCATCATCATAAACAAAGCTACTTTAAAAAATATAAATTGTCAGTTTGAACTTAGGCTATTGATTTTGAGTGCATTCAAATAATCGATTAAAAATCTTGCATTTTTTAAAGTGAATGATGGTAATGACATTCAACATAAAGGACTGAGGACCTTTTTAGTGTATACTTTACCTTCAGCCTGAAAAACTGAAATTGCTAATAATTATCTAAAGAATATTGGTGATAATTTTAATACACAGCAAAAATAACTTGTTTTGAATATGGCTGTGGGACTGAATATTAAGTGGCTTTGTGTAATGCTCGTAATATACGTCGAGTAAACAATAATATACTGAGCTTATACTTGAAATTATCATACTATCATGGACACATCCAGAGATATGTCCTCTATTAGCAGTTTACCGAACGAGCTAATAACATTAATATTAATAAATAATGAACCTAAAGAAATACTGAATTTTGGTGCAACATGTAAAAAATTCAATGAAATCGTAAATAACAATGAGTACCTTTGGAGGGTTAAATATTCCGAAACGTAAGTATCAATAAATACTATAAGTATAAAAATGTAAGTGCTTATTTTTATTTCTAATTTGTTTTATATGAAAATCAGTGTACCAAGAAGATTTATCAAAAGTCTATTCGATGGTACCATGTTACAAGAAGTCAAAAATGTCTACAAAATCAGAAGAAAGATAGAAGATGAACTGAAAGCGATGTCACCTAAATATTATGTGTAAGTTAGTTTAATTAAATTTCCATATAAATAATAATATATGTATGTTTATATTTTATAAGTTGTTTTCTTGTAGGCAAGTCAATGAAGTGTCGGTAGAACATGTAAGAAACTTCTATGCGATTGCAACTGAAAGTCATCACAGCTTCTATTACACAATTTTTATTCTACAAGATATTGTAGATAAGTCTAGAAGAATACTTCAAAACTTTGAGTGTGTTAAGTAAGTTCATGTTTTTTTTAATATGTTCCACAGAGCAATTCTATGTATATGTAATATCTAATATGTTGTTAGAAATCCATACTATAGGAAATTTAATTGTACTGTGTAAAAAAGAAATATGTCTGTTGATTTTTTGTTATATTTGGAATGCTTGAGTTTTACATACCTATTATTATTTTTTTCTTCTTGAGTATCGGATTATAAAAATTAACATAATAGAAATATAAAGCAATACAAAAAATATTACTATTAATAACTTTTATAAAAAAAACAGTGGTACTCAATATGTTAAGATTTAGAAAAAAAAACCTTTTTTTTAATACAACTGGAAATTATATATATTTTTTGGTATTAGCAATATTTTTAAATTTAACTTGCACCTTCATGCTAATGTGGCTGAATATTATCAGATCTTTACTAAGATTTGAATGTTGTTATTTTTTTTCTAGTCCAATAAACAACTTGACTGGCATATACTATGCCAAAATTGTTCTTCGTCACTTGATACATATGTTCTTATCAATAAAGTGGGTGAGGGAATTAAAGAGAGATAATTTGACTCCTCAAGTCGTTTTAATGTTCTTCCTGCAGTGGATTGATTGTGATCATTTGTACTCTGATGGAGAAGTTTACTATCAGGTAGGAAATTTATTTGGAACATTTTATATTTATGAATAATAACTATAATGGACAAATATTTACAGATACATACTTTAGTTGAGAAAGTTAAAAATATTCTGGATAAAGTTTGTCCGAGCGGCAGTGGTGATAATTATAAAGAACTC